AGGGGAGGGGCAAGAGTAGGGAAGTGAGGCTGAAATACTCCCTGGGTAGGAGCCTGGGTCAGGGAGACACTGTCAGAAGTGTCCAGGGCACTGGCGGAGGTTAGTGCAGCCCGGTGGACTGAGGGCAGACAGAGAGAGAGCATGGGGACTGAGCCAGGACATCCCACATTAAAAGCAGTGACCTCAGCACAGGTTGGTGGGGTCAGGACACAAGCCTTACTCTCCAGGAGAAGAAAGAAAGAGAGGAAGACAGTTGGGGGAGAGGCTGAGAGGCTGCTTGGGTCGGGCTTGCGGGTGGAGAAGGAGGCTCACCGGAGGCCCCAGAGCACAGAAGGAGGGGGGCTACCTGCCCCCCGCCCCCCAGAACTCAGGAATAGTCCTTATCTTCTGCCCTCAGGCCCTCCCTGGGCTCATCCAGCCCCTCTTACATCACAGCCCCCTGCCCCTGCCTGAACCTCTGGGGGCTGGAGTCCCTCATCTGTTCTAACCCAGGCTGGTTTACTGGTCCTGGATCTCCACATGCTACTCCCTTCCACAGTTCATTCCACCCCTCCACACACCTGGAACCTCCATCCTGGCCGGGGGACCCCCCTGGGGAGGAATTTCCAAGGTGGGGGTCAGTCTCCTCTGGTGCCATCTCCTCCCCAACCTGGAGGCTGAACTGGACATGGAAACTGTTTCTGCTGGACCTCAGACATCCTCACAGTGACCACGGCAGCACCCAGGCTTGAAGGGCACCCACAGTGAGACTCAGGAACCTGCTTTGCAGGTCACAAGTCTAGGTTTCGGATTTACCTTCCCCTGCAGGCGGTGGGCTCAGGTTCTCTATCAAGCAGACGTGACAAGCACACACTTGCTGAGTGAGAGATCGATGGCGAAGTGAAGAAAAATCATTTCACGAAGCTGCATTTTCAAGGTGGCTCAGCTAAAGAAAGAGAACCCAGACATGTCAGTGATGACTCAGGCAAAAGTGGTGATTTTTCTCTCCTCCACAGAGTCTGTGTTCTTCCTCGAAAGGTCTAAAAGGAGTGTATACTGTTTGCGTGTACAGAGAGCCTCTGAGGATGAGATGCTAACTGGTCCCCACTGCAGCCGGAGGGGAGAAACCCACAGTGCCCTGAGGGCTCTCGGACATAGTTTGGGTTGTTTCATGAACATGGTAATCTACTGGAGTGTCCCTGGAAGTGGGGAGGCGGTGAGAAGGGAACTTTCATTTTTTACGCTATGCTTTTGCCAGGATAGCTATTATAATTGATGGGTTTAATTTGTAAGTGTTAAATAACGTTCATTGAAATACATTCACAAAGTGTGTTAAATAAAATGTAGAAAGAAAAGCTCGAGTGTATGAAAATAGTGTATGTAAATAGTGTGTGTGTTTGGAGATTGATGGTGTGTGTATACATAAAACCAAATTACACACAACACTGTAAACTGACGACACTTCAATAAAAAAGAATGCAAAAATTTATAGAAGTACGTTCTGAGTTCAGTTATCTGTAAAAGGAACAAACAGATTCTAATCATCATGCAGGAAAATGCTCAGCCTCAACAGCCAACAGAACAGGTGCCCCTACACGTATTCTCACAGACAGAGAGGAGTCCCAGTGCTGCATGTCGGCCAGGCGGTGTGGAACCTGGACCACGCTGTGAACACTGGCTCCGTCCAGGAACAGAGCTGTCGATGGAGGCCAGCCTCTTTCTCTGAGCACCTCTGGGTGCTTCCTCTGCGCAGCTGGCAGGTGGATGGGGGTACGTGACCAGAGGAGTCACCCCACGGGACCAAGGCCTGGGCTCTCAGATTGGTCTGCAAACTCTTGGCTCAGAAACAGAGACCAGGGCAGGGCCCAAGGCAACCCGCAGCTCAGCTCCCACCTCATGGAACTGAATGGTCACAGCAGAGTGTGCTCAGCATGGAAGCCCAATGAAAACACAGGCAAAAACCAATCAGAGTTACAGTAACCCCCATCACTTATGGATCATTGTCATTACCAGTTTGGTACTGTTCTATCTATCCCTTCCTTCTATTTAAAAAAACATTATTGGAGGGAGGTTATAGCTCAAGTGGTAGGGTGAATGTTTAGCATGCTTGAAGTTCTGGGTTCAATATCCAGTACCTTCTCTAAAAATAAATAAATGAATAAATCTAGGTACCTCCCCTCTCAAAAAAAGTAAAATAAAATTTTTAAAATAAATAAATAAAAACATTATCATGGAGGGGGTAATAGCTCAGTAGTAGAGTGCATGCTTAGCATGCATGAGGTCCTGGGTTCAATCCCCAGTACCTCCACTAAAAAGTAAAAATAAAATAGGATAAACAAAAATAAAAAACATTGTCACGTAATGTGTCCTGTTTTTTCCCTTCTTATTAAAAAATTCTGTATTTTGAAAAAGATGTGAGGAATGTTGATCATAATTAAAACATTTTAATCAGGCTATAATCTGTTGAACTTAAAAATACATAAAAACGGACCCCTTGCAAGAACACATACTAACTAAAAGGAATACATCAAGCACACTAGAATGGTCACCTTGCGGGAGGAGGAGGGAATAAGCCAAGACGGTAAAGGATACAAATACATAAAGCAGAAGAGGTCTGCAAAGGGTGTGATGAGAATGTGACAAGTAGGACTGAGGTCTCCTGAGACCCCAGGCTTTGCGTGAAGAGGCCAGCCTCCTCCCCCCGGGTACCCACCAGGCTACTGGGGGACTTGACTTATGGGTGGTGGAGAACCTCAGACCGAACTTTATCTGGGTGAGGAGAGGGCTACACAGCAGAGGTGTGAGAGGATCTGAAGCCATTGTGGGCTCACACCCTGTGACACCTGGCCTCGGTGTCCCTCTATGGGCCTCAGTTTTTTCATCAGGTGGCAATACTGCAGCTTAAAGTAAGAAACAGAGAGTGCTTCTGTGACGGCCTGATGCCTTCCAGGTCATCCTTCTATCGCAAGGCCAGGGAGGCCGGGGGATAATCATTACAGAGTCCAGTCTCTGGGCTAGCCTGATACATGGACCCTTGACCCAGGCCTGGGCCCCTATCTCCCTGCAACATGGGCTCTGGCTGTGGCTCTGCA